CGGGAGGTAGAGGCAGGCGGATCTCAGTGGGTTTGAGGTCAGCCTGGTATACAGAGTGAATTCCAGCACAGTCAAGGCTACACAGAGAAACCCTGTCAGGGGAAAAAAACTCCACAATATTCTTGGGCCAGAATATAGCTCAGTAATAAAGTGCGTGGCTAGCACAGGTGCGGCCATGAGTTTGGCCACTAGTACTACAAAAAGAAACTTGAACAATAGTCTCTTTAATGAGTATGTTCTGGCAGGTTTCTTAAACATCTGTCTCATTCTTTCAGTGACATCATGCTCCAGGTGAAAGAATCTTAGACGACATAAGTCTACTCTTATCAGTGAAGGATTTCTGTTACAACATTCGAAAGGAAGTTCTTCAGTTTGTTTGTCTCTTATAACTTGTAATCAGAATTAACCATAAACTAAAGGGGTGTGTGGCCTCTACGAAGGGTGATGGAGCTGCCCTACATCCAGATGCAACCTAGTATTGACCCGGGCAAAGTCAGGAAAATTTACTAGCTGTGTCGTGTGACAGGCGATGGACATGACATATGACATGTCATGTTATGGCTAAACCTTATCTCCATGAATAACTCTCAAAGAAGGTAATGCTTCTTATTTCCTAATTAATATGTAAGTAAATTATATTTAACAAAAAGTTAAAACTTTTTGCTTTAACTTCAGCCCATCATTCCATACACCGAGATTTTAGGAATCCTGACTGTATCACCCAACCAGTTAGATATGTTTGTTTGTTTGTTTTTCGAGACAGGGTTTCTCTGTAGCTTTGGAGCCTGTCCTGAAACTAGCTCTTGTAGACCAGGCTGGCCTTGAACTCATAGAGATTAGTGCTGGGATTAAAGGTGTGCGCCACCACTGCCCGGCAGGATAAGTTTTTTTTTTTTTTTTTTTTATCACTAGCATAGCAAAGATTTTCAACCTGTAAGAAAGAACAGGAGGAAAAGAAACATTTATCAGACACTTTGCTCTAAAAGAAACAAAAATAAGGTAGCAGGTTGGGAACCTTGATTTTTTTCCTAACATTTATATGACAATAGAAACGACTTGAAAGTGAAGGGGAGAACATACCATGTAAAAACATTGTCTACACTGTAAAGCTGAATACAAATATAGCACACACACACACACACACCCCACATGTTCTTCTTGCCCAGCTATTCAATTATCTCAGTACCGTTTTCAAAGCCTTTAGCTCTACTGAGTTCTCTTTCTGACTGTTCAGAGTATCTGCTCCCAGGATCATATGTACTTTTTTTCTGTAACTATTTTGACATGTCTATGTCTGGTAGCCTTCCTTTGCTATTATCAACTGTAATGTTACAAGATCTCTTTCACCTTCTGTTTTTAATCAGTCTCCTTCACTGCTCATGAAAATTCTTAAGTCTAACTTCAGATTTGCTAAAGGAAGCACCAGGATTCCAACAGGATCACAATTTTAAACATAAAAACCTAAGACAAACCCTTTAAAGACTGTGCTGCAACTCTCCCGTCAGCAAGATTATCAGTAAGGGTTATTACTCGGCAAAGCTGTTCTCAAAGCTTTTAACACCCCATCCTGAAATTTTCTGTACAAAGCATAAAGTGGTCAATGCCAAACTCTTGCTGCCAGCAATCTGCATACATACTAATTACATCACCACCACAGGGCTTTCTCCATTCCCAACCCCCACTCTGGGCTCAAACAAAAAGCTAGTGTGCATGCACATAAAGCACATTTACAATGTCTGTGCCACACACTAGCTAGGTCTGCTCTGCAAAGGGATTAGTGTGTGCCTAATTCAAAGCTGACCATCGCTGCAAGTAGCCAAAAAGCAACTAAGATCTGTTCATAAATGTTACAATACACGCCTTCAAAACTCCATTTCTAAAAATAAATACTTTATCAGGTAACATGTAAATGTTAGCCCAGAACAAAGAGCATCTCCACTCACTGATACATTTTGTTTAATAAAAAGAAAGTATACTCGTTTAGGAAGTATTTTACAAAGTAGAATGGTAACACTTTACAAAATGTGTAACACTTTTAAAATAGCAAATCTTCTAAAGAAAAATAAAGCCAATTTGTCATTTATAAAGAGAGGACAGTAAAGCTCAGTAATTTATACATGCCTAACTGTGCAACTCCTAACTGGCCTGAAAGGAGCACTGCAAAATAACAAGGGTTTCTAACTTCACAAAGCAAGCTATAGATATAGAACTAGCCATTACGGTAAACATTAGAAAAGCTATAAAGTTCTTTTGTCTTTTAGAAAGGGTATTATTGTTTTTGTTTTGGGGAACAGGGTCTCAGACCATGGCCCAGGCTGTCCTGGGACACTATGGAGCATCAATCCTCCGGCAATTCCACTGCTCGGATAACAAGTATCCATCCACCACTACACCTAGCTTTAAATGGTTTTCTTACACATATATAATTTTACCCGTCTTCTATCATAGTCTTCCTTATAAAACACACTATTGAGTTTCTGGTGCACAAGCAGATGTCATGCCACCTTGGATTCCATATACACCCACAGGTGTAGAATCAGCTTACAGGTAGACTACCTGGGAAAAGAGCCCCTCTGAATGGGAGCTTCGTAAGTAAAGCTTCTTAACAGCTTCACTCCAGGCTGTTGCCCTCCTTTTTCCAGCTCGCCAGGGCTTTTAAAAGGTGCTTGGCAACGTGTATTTCAATCAGCACTTGCTGGACTGAAAGACCATATGGGTGAAAACCATTTGTCCAAAGCTTGACTGAAGCCACCTACAGGGTCCTGCCATCATCATTCTGAGAAATCCTGGAACAATTCTCATGTGGTAAGGGCTGGAGAGATGGCTCAGCAGTTAAGAGCGGTTGTTGGTTTTTGCAGAAGACAAGGGCTTAGCTGCTAGCACCCACAGGATGGCTCTTTACTCCAGTTCCAGGGGATTCAACACTCTCTTCTGGTCTCTATGGGCACTACACACACATTGTACACATACATACAGGCAAAATACCCACACATAAAATAAGTAAATTGTTTTTTTTTTAAATATTTATTTATTTATTATGTATACAATATTCTTTCTGCGTGTATGCCTGAAGGCCAGAAGAGGGCACCAGACCTCATTTCAGATGGCTGTGAGCCACCATGTGGTTGCTGGGAATTGAACTCAGGACCTTTGGAAGAGCAGGCAACGCTCTTAACCACTGAGCCATCTCTCCAGCCCAGTAAATTGTTTTTAAAGAAACAATAATGATACCTCTTCTCCACAGGAGAGGCGAATACATTATCAGTCTATTTTTCAGATAAGAAATGAAGCTCCCAGGTAGAATTATTTTGCCAGTATCACAGTGTGTGTGCAGCACAGGTCTGATAAGGAGCCTTCAACCTCACGGTGCTATTTCCCCAGGGACAGGATAATGACGACTGACTTTTAGTTCCCAGCACCTTTCACTTGGAATCCCGAAAAGCATTCTCCAAGATGGGGCTTAATTTGGGGGTGACAGACAAGTGACAAACAAGCACATGAAACACTTTGGAGTCCAGCATTTTGACTGAGGGCGATGGTCTTGGGGTGCCTGGGGGAAGCAAGCCCCAAGCACGAACCACAGATTTCACAACACAGCACAGCTCTTGCTGCAGAGGAGCTAGCCTCGTTCTTCCTCTTCCTCCCTTTCCACATGACCCTCACGGTCCTCTTCCCCACCAGAAAATAGTATAGCATTGTTACGGCCACAGTTTGGCAACATTACATGTCCCAACCACAGTGACTGGCACAGAGCTGGCAGCAAATATTTATTGAATGGAGCAAAGACAAAAACCGCTTCTATGGTCAAGCAGGGACCTGAAGTGCTGCTTCTAACCTAGTGAAATAAGAAATACACCATAAGCATTCGGTCACTGGTGTAAAAATGAACAATTAAGAGCCCAGTCTAAGTAAAAGAAAGGTAATGGTAAAGCCTTACGTGAAACCCCCCCACACCAGCCAGTACGCCCCAAAGAAAACAGCTTAGTATGTGTTAACATACAAATACAGAGCTCAGACGTGCATGTTTTTAATATTTTAGTCTATAAAAGCAAACACCATTACCCTAAAGATTGCCTAGATTAGGTCATCTGAACACAAATAGCAGGTTTTTTTTTTTTTAATCCTCTCAGCATTCTAGAGGTGAGGGTGTAGAGAAGATAGGAGACATCTCCCCCAGGTTTTGCCTGCTAAAGACCTCAAATACAACACTTCACGGAGAAATATGTCCTTTAAACACTACCAGTAATTAACAGACACAAGTTTTACATTAAATCATTAGCTATGCACAGACCGAATACACAGGAGGGGAGCGGGGGACGTGAGTCTACATCAAATGGCTTCAAAGACGATTCCTGACCATTTTACCACTTTCCCTCTGGGTGGGCACCCGTGACCAAACACCTGGCTACTAGTTCAGCTACTCTTGCGTTCTTTATCACGTAAAAATCTCCAGTCTCATGACAGCAAAACTAGCGGAGTCACAGAAAGCCAAAAGCAACAGGGACCCCCTCCCCTTAGCCACTGAAGAAAAAACCCGCACGTTTTGACGTTCGGGGCGCGGGGGGGGGGGGGGGGGCTCTCATCCCTCCAGATTCACCGCAGTGAAAAATCTGTGGGATTTCAGAACAAACCTGCCGATTCCAAAATACAGGTTAAGCATCTCGTCCACCATGAAGTAGTTCTGCGCCCCTGCACCACCTCCTTTGTCTCAACTGTCCCTGCAAACTCGCATTCCAATGCCCTCTAGTAAACAAGCTACCTAAATGAAAAAGAGGGGTTCGTTCTAAGTCTTTATTTTATTGCTATTATTTTTTTAATTTCAGGGGGGAGATGCAGCAAGCTTTCTGGAGCCCCTCTCCCCAGCGGGGAGCAGGCCAGGCTCCACAGCGCGGGGACCTCGATTCCCTAAGCTGGCGGCCGAACCGCGCGCAGACACCCGGCCACGCCGCCCCCGCGCCCTCCGCCCCCCGCCCGGCCTCCGGCTCCGGCCCCAGCCTCACCTCCGTGGATGGGCAGCGGTGCCAGCACCTGGCCACGGACCTCGGCCTTGGGTGAGTCGAGCCCGTAGCGCCCGCGGTCGATGCGGAACGTGAGCGGGGTGCCGCGGCCGGGCTCCTGCACCGTCACGTTGATGAGCGCCGTGTAGTACTCCTGGCTCGCGTTGTCCGCCCGCGTCGGCCACAGGCTGCAGGTCAGCAGGGCCAGCGCCGCGAGCCGGGCCGGGCCCGCCCGCGCCGCACCGCTCATCGTCCCTCCGGCCGCCGCCGCCGCTCGCGGACCGGGCTCCCGGGCGGGCGCTGAGAGGCGGGGCGGGCGCGGCCCGGGCTGCGGCGGGAGCGCGCGCGCGCCTCGCGACGGCTCGGGCGCGAGCACGGCCCTCCTCGGCTCCGCGGCCCCGCCGCTCGCCGCCCTCACGTCCGCAGCCCGCGCGCGAGTACGCGCCCGTGGGTCCCTCAGGAGGGCAGCTCAGACGCCGAGGGACCAGGCCTGTGGGCAGGGCGCCTGAGGGAACTCGGGGAGGATGGGCAAGAGTGGTCCCGACTGCCCCAGGTCAGCGATGCCGCCTCGGGCGCGTGCTCGCTGCCGCCCCGTCCCCGTCAGCCGAGCGGCGACGCGCAAGTCCGACCACCACGCATGCGCGCTACGCCCTGCCTACTCCCGCCCTCCCGCACGAGGGCCAGGGGCGGTCCAGTCACCTGCTTGCTGGCACCGGCTCTGTGAAACTGCCTGGGGCTTCATAGTCCGCTACGAGCTGGATCCGTGAAGCTTTCCAAGAACCTATAGAGATGTTAGAGATACGACTATAAAAGAAAACCAAATGTTAAGTTTTAAATTAAATGTCTCTGAGAAATAACCTCACTGGGTCGGTTGCAGAGTGTATAACAATTGACATCTGTAGGGAGGTGACTTTGTGTTTGGGGCCCAGGAAACCTGGACTCAGGGGAGGCATCTGAGTGGTTAGCAAGATCCGTTAGAGACAGATGTAAACCTCATAAGGTTGGTAGGAACCCCTCCTCCCCGCAGAATACCCAAATCCACAGCCGCTCACTTCCTTTCTGTAAAATGGTATAGTACTTGCAGCATTTGTCAAGAGCTCTGCTATGGTTCTCCTGTAGTTGGGCCTCTCTTCACAGGGTGAACTACAGCGCCCATTTTTCAGCCCCAAGATCCCGGAGCTGCCTGTCAGAAAGTCGCAGGCTATGTGTAGAGCCTACGTGGGGCTTTCTCTAAGAAGAATCTACTCTTCCTCTCCCATTTGTCCTCTGTCCTCTCTTTGCTGATAGCTCCTGGCCCCTAGTTCTTGCCCTTACAAGGGTCTTTAGTATGGGTGGGGGTGCTCATGCCCCCGGCGAGAAGTACTACTGCAGGCCACAGACGCCATCCCTATAACCATCTGTAACTCCAGTAAACCAGGCCAGAAGAAGGGGATGCTCCTATTGCTCTTTTGATCTCTTTCAACTGTTGTGAGCTTATCAAGGAGAAAATGTATTTGAGAGTGCTTTCTAAAAATATATTTTTTTAAAAAAAGTATCCATGTGTTGCTGGGCTGTAGTGGCACCTGCCTTTAATCCCAGCACTCGAGAGGAAGAGGCAAGCGGGTTTCTATGAGTCCGAGGACAGACTGGTCTACAGAGCGAGTTCCAGAAGAGCCAGGGCTACATGGAGAATCCCTGTCCTGAAAAACAAAAAACAAAAACAAAAAAAAAGTTTGTGTGCTTGCTTGAGTTTATGTGCACCGCATATATGAGGTGCCCAGGGAGGCCAGAAGAGGGAAATGACAGCCGTTCTGGAACTGGAGTTACAGACGGTTATCAGCTGCCCTGTGAGCGCTGGGAACCAAACCTGTGTCTTCTGCAAGAACAGTAGGAGCTTTTAACCACTGTCCTGAGCCAGCTCTCCAGTCCAGAGTGCTTTTTAACTTTCCCTTGACAGTCACTGAGGGACCCCCATTGTTGTTTATTTGGGACAGGGTCTTGCTAAATAGCCCCACTGGCCTGGAACTCACTATATAGACCAGGCTGACCTCAAACTCACAGCAGTCCTCCTGCCTCTCCCTCCAGAGGGCTGAGGTGAGTGTTTCCACATCTGGTTATGACTTCCACTTTAAGAGGAGGTCTTGGTGCCTTAGTAGACACCAGCATCTAGGGTGATGTCAAGGCCACCTTGTCTTTGACCTCACTATAATAGTGATACAAAGTTTCCTTATTTTAAAGTAGTAAAACACACACAGCAGCATTTTAACACCTTAACAATGTACAGTTAGTGGCACTAAATGCCCATTCTTGTGTAATCATCACCATTATTATCTATAGAACACTCGTCTTCTCACAAAATGAAGTTGTATTCATTGAACAACTCTAAATTCCTCATGCTTTCTACCTCGGGCAACCGCCCTTCCATCATTTCTCTGGACTTGACTGCTCTAATCTCTCATTTAAATGGGACTATGCCATATTTTATTTTCTTATAACATCCTCGAGATTCATCCATGTTGTCACGATGTGCTTCTTCTCCCTTAAGGCTGAACAGTGTCTTGATTTCCTCTCATCTGTCCGCTGATGGCCCCCTAAGAGGCTTCCACAGTTTAGCTATTGCTAAGACCCTGTTGCTAAGAGAGGGGGCTGGGAACACAGCTGTGTGAGTCTCTCCTCAAGACCCTGCTTTCAGTTGCACTGTGTTTGTTCTCGAAGGTGAAATGTACAGGCCAAACGGTCATTTTCTGCTGCATTTTTTTTTCTTGGCGAGGTCACGTGTCCTGTGTCCCACGCAGCTGTGCCATTTTACACAGCCACCAACAGTGTGCAGGGTTTTTCACTCGCCCTGCATCCTCACTCACACCTGCTTTCTCTTTGATTTTCTGTTAACAGCAGCCATTGTATTGGATGTGATGTGGGATCTCCTTGGGGGTTTTGATTTGCATCTTCCTATTGATTAGTGATGTGTCAAGCATCTCTCTATGTACTTACCCCTAAAAATTAAGTTAAAGATGAATGAATTCAAAGTCTATGGTAGGGACTGAGAATGTGGCTCAATTGGTAGAGTGCTCGCCTAGCAGGCACAAGGCTCTGGGTTCGATTTTCAGCACCACATAAATCAGGTGTGGTGGTATATGTCTGCAATCCCAGCAGTCAAAGGAGATGGCAGGAAAAGGATCGAGCCATCCTCAGTTACACAGTGAGTTTAAAGCCAGTAAGGTGATCCTGGGATACAAGAGATCTGAATAGAGCCTCAGTTGCCTTCACGCCCACCTTGACAGGGTCATCTCTCTGTCGTCACCAAGTACTGCTTTCCTGTTTCTGCATGCCTGTCCACCAGCCTCTCATCCCATTTCCCACTTCATAAGAACTCCTAGATCGCCTGTATGTCTCATGTCAGGGTCCCCTCTTCCCAGAGTGCCACCAAGATCTCACTACCACCTCCTGAGGTTCCAGACTCTCAAGGCCTTCAGTCTGTCAGGATCTGGTCTATACCTCAGAGTGGTGTCTACCTTCCACGGGATCACAAATGTAGGTCCTGTGTGTAAGGCTCATTGAACAGCGCTTAGGGGCCTCCAGCGGTTAAAGCCTAAGCATGGCCTCATAGATAGTGCTTCATGAAGCTCTCAAAGCGTTGTCCACATTTCCCAAAGCCTCTCTTTTCCTCGTCTTCGTCTTCTACCTCTCCTCCTCTCACCTCTTCTCTTCCTCCATATCCTCTTTCACATCTCTTTTCTCTTGTGCTTCCTTGTTTAATAAATTTTCTTTTTTCTTTACTGTTTGTTTTTGGAGACAGGGTTTCTCTATGGAACAGCCCTGACTGTCCTGGAACTCACTTTGTAGACCTGGCTGGCCTCGAATTCATACAGATCTACTTGACCTCTGTTCACTGAGTGCTAGTATTCAAGGTGTGTGCTACGACAGCCTCCAATCGATTTCCTGAAATGTTTACTTTTATCATGATTCCCACTCTCATTTCCTGTCACACAGACAACCATTCTAATGTACTTAATGTATCTCTTTGTGGATTTTTTCCCCAAGATGTACACTTTCTAGTATCATGTACATTTTAATTGTTAAATAATACAGGGTTATGAATATCTTCTGTCTTTCAGTCTCTTCATTCAGTACTCCGCTGGGTTTTTAGATTTACACATATTAATGTTTATGTTGAAATGTAACATCAGGGGCTGGGAAGGTGGTTCTGGGGCAAAGCGGTTATTGTGAAAGTATGAGAACTTAAGTTTTGATTCCCCAGAACTCACATAAAGCCAGGTATGTTATCACATGTCTGTAATCCCAGAGTTCCTGTGGGAAAAGGGGAGGTGGAGATAGGAAAATACCCAGAAGAGACCTTGCCTCAAACAAGGTAGAAGGCAAGGACAGACATCCAAGGTTGTCTTCTGACCTTCATACATGCACCATGGCATGAACACATCTACCAGTGAACATACGCGCGCGCACACACACACACACCATACAAAGACCTTTTTTTTTTTATTTACAAAGACCTTTTTAAAAGGAATGTAACATCTATAGGAAAGTGCAGAAATCTTGTGTGTACACCCAACAAATGTTTCCAAGGTGAAAACCCCTTTGTAATAACTATCTAGAACAAGACAGAGAACACTAAAAACCCTGAGAATCTTCCTGGCCTTCTCAGTGATGAGCACCCTGTTCTTCTGATTCCTGTGGCCATGCATTAGTTTGATATACACAAATGGAAGCATACAACACATACTCTTTAGTGCCTGGTTTCTTTATTTTTAAAATGACTTGTTTTTATTTTCTGTGCGTTGGTAAACACTGTGTGTATGTCTGTGTGAGAGCATCATATCCCCTTGAACTGGAGTTACAGTTGTGAGCTCCATGTGGATGCTGGGAATCGAACCCAGGTCCTCTGGAAGAGCAGCCACTACTAACTGATGAGCCAGCTCTCCAGCCACTAGTTTCATAATAAAATTACTTTCCTTCATTTTAATTTAGTCAGCCATAGTTATCTTTTATTTCCTGTGTAGTATTCCACTATTGATTTATCCATTTTCCTACTGACAAGCACTGTGATCAATTTTTCTATTGGGACTATGACAGACAGACGTTAAGAGGCCTGTGTGTTTACTGCTGCCTGCTCCTTCTCGTTGTCCTCCTCTCCTCACATGACTGTACTGTGAACTTGTGACCTTACATTCGGGACAAAGGTTTATATACAGCTCATTTGCTGTACATAAATACATCTCAAAATATATCTCAAGTATTTATGTGTTGGCAACTTAATCCCTGAAGTCATGTGCTGATGGTATTTGGAGGTGACTGGGTCAGGAGGGTGCTGATCCATTTATGGATTTGTGGCCTAATGGACCCGTGAGTTATTGAGGAGTGACTTAGTTATGAAAGCACGTGCTCTCTGGTTTGCCACGAGATCCCTTCTACGATGATAGGATATAACAAGACGGCCCTCAACAAATGTTAGGGCCATGATCTTGGACTCTCAGCTTCCAGGCCATAAGCCAAATACGCATCCACCCATTATCAATCACCCAATCTCAGGTCATTACCTGAGATTTCTGTGTTGTAGCGATGGGCAGTGTCCGCGGGTGTGGGTGTTGCCTACTTGCATCCCTGAGATTGTGAGCTTTAG